GAGGGAGAGAGCAGGAGAGAGAGAGAGAGAGAGAGAGAGAGAGAGAGAGAGAGAGAGGGAGGGGGGGGGAGAAAGGTTCGTGTGTGTGTATATGAGTGTAGTGGTGTATCGTATTGTGTAGTGGGCGACACAGCCACTCGGCGTTGATCGTGACGACGCGTGTAGAAGTTCCTACACTACCGCTTCATTACCAGCTTAATTATACAACACGGCCAAACTACTCCCGTTAGCATTTCGCCGCTTTCATTCGAGTTTTGGTCGTGAGTGTACCGCAGTTCTAATGAAGTAGTGTGTAAAACAGTGTTCATGTGAAGTGGTTTATAGAACAGTGTTCTATTGGAGTGGTTTTTTGGACTTTCAATGACGTGATTTTTTAGTATAAAACTGTTGTGAAGTGATTTTTAGTGGTGTTCGTATAATGTGGTTTTTAGAACAGTGTTGCAGACACACAAAAGCTCATATCCCTCTCTCTTTCTTTCTATCTCTCTCTCTCTCTCTCCCTCTCTCTCTCTCTCTCTCTCTCTCTCTCTCTCTCTCTCTCTCTCATTATTTTCTTACCTTTTTTAATATCCTGTCTCGCGTTTTCTTAGATCATAAGAAAGGAATTTCGAGCGTTCATCGCTATAGACAAGCTAGGCAGCCTGCCACCGCCTTCCGGTGGTTTTTGTTTCTGCTTCTTAAATGTGCGTGTAGTGTGTGGGAAACACATCACATTTGATTCCACGTAGATCTTATATAGTTTCTCCCTTTCTGCAACAGTCCTCTTGAGGGGACAGGAAAAGGAGATCATCAAGGAAACACAGTGGCAAATGTTTGTTCATGAACATATCAATTTTCATAACCAACAGGAGGATATCGGATTACCCTTGTGAATTCTCCTCCTTCGCTTATAAATGCTTCATCGGATCTTGGTGATGCTGTGTGGGCGAGTGTTTTGAGGGGATAAAAATACACTCGCTCGTAGAGAGGGACAAATAACAGAGATTTTAAAGAAACAATTGTCCAGAGCTAAAAATATAAATTCCGGGATTTGTGAAAAGGAGTACTTTACATTCAGAGGTTAGTGAAAAGGAGTGCAACGCATACAGAAATTGGTGAAAAGAATAACGTATGTTATAGAGATTTGAAGAGGAAGAAAAAAGTGACAGAGAAACCAGTGAAGCCAGAAGAAGCCAGGACACTTGTGGACGTCGTCTGTCTGTGACGGGCGTGTGGGTTCTGTTGATGTGATCGAGACACTCTCTTGAGCAGTTTTGTCGTTGGTATTTTTGCTGTGATAAGAAAACATGGGTGATCACTCTGCTGTTGTCAACGGAGAAGGGGGAGGCGGAGGAGGAGGAGGGACTGAGGAGGTCCAGGCGCCACCGGTGGTTGATGAGGTAAGCAGGTCTGATGTTACTGTAAGTGCCGGAGTGTAGAGGTGTTGCTGGAGAGTAAAGTACGAAAAGTACGAAGAAATGGAGGGGAAGGACAGAGGCGGTCCAGGCACTGCCTACGGTTGGTGAGAAAAGCAGGTTGGTCTGATACTGTTGTACGTGCCGGAGTTTAGAAGTATTGTTAAATTGTAACGTGCGAAGAAAAGGAGGAGGAGGAGAGATACTGACGATATTATTAATTTATTTTAGTAGAATAGAAGGAGCAACCCGCACCAGAACGCCCCGGAACTGTCCAGGATTTGGCAATTAGAAATTAGAGTCTTATCGTTATCTATCATTTATGTTTGTAATACGCCACGGGAAGATCAGCCCCAGTTTGGAATGATATATTGTTCATCTTAACGAAATCTGATGTTACAAGGTTAGGTGTCCCTGATTGGCTATTGAAACAGTTGACAATCGTGTGTGTGTGTGTGTGTGTGTGTGTGTGTGTGTGTGTGTGTGTGCGTGCGCGCGCTTGTGCGTGCCTGCGTGTGCGTGCGTGCGTGCC